TCTGACGTGCCCTAAGACTCTGGGCAGGGAGCCACCATCTCTCTGGGCCTTACCTTCTCCATCTGTAGCACCACCTGGGTCAGGAGGTGTTTTGATAGGCTTGAGTCAGTCTGTTGTTTGTTTAGAAAATATATCCACACCCAAGAGAAATTGTTTCCTTAAACAAAATAATGGCAGACCAACTTGTTATATATGATGGTGGCAGCCTTCTTTCAAGACACAGACACAGCCTGGAGGAAACCCTTTTGCTTATGAAGCCTTCTTTGACTGCTCCTTGCCTGACCTTTACTTACTCTGAATCCTGAGTTTGTATCACATACAGAGCACCCAGTCACATGCAATCTATTTTGTCTCCCAAACTAAATAACTAAACTCTGAGAAGATAAAGGACATTTCATATATATAATTCTTTATTTAATTGAATATAAATCTTGCACACAAGTTAAAGAACACAGAGTGGCTGGTGTTATGGACTGAATGTTTATGTTCCCTCCAGAATTCATATGTCAAAGCCCGAACTCCCAATGTGATACAGAAGATGGGGCCTTTGGGAAGTAATGAGGTTTAGATGAGGTCATGAGGATGGGACTCCCTCATGATGAGATTAGTGCCTTTATGAGAAGAGGAAGAGACACCAAAGCTTTCTCTCTCCATGTACAGACAAAGAGGTCATGTGAGCATATAGTGAGATGGTGGCCCTCATCAAGAACCAAATCTGCTGGCACCTTGACCTTGGACTTCATGGCCTCAAGAACTATGAAAAATAAATATCTGTTGTTTAAGCCAACTAGGCTATGTTATTTTGTTGTAGCAACCCAAGCAGATGAAGACAGCTGGTTAGGTTCAGATTGCAGTTTTTGTGGATGTGACTCTTTGGTATGCAATTCTCATCTTTTAATATCTGAGCCATATGAGCCAAGAGATGGAGGCAGTGGTATTCCCTGTAACCCCTCCTGCAGTGTGGATAGTGTTATTCCTGATTATGTAGCACAGAGCCTGGCTCTCTTGCCCTTAAATAATATTCCGTTAGCCATTTATTCTTCTTAAATCCTTTTGCTGCTTAAACTAGCCAGAGTGAATTCCAATGTCTGCAGTTAAGAACCTTGGCCAATAACACGAACAAATACAGTTGGAACGAAAAGAATTAAACAAGTTTCTTTATTGCAGGACCATTAATATAACGTGAATAATAAATCTCCAAGAGGGATATAGAGTGTATGGTAGTATCTTCACCTACCCCCATGGGGTCTGTCTGATGATTGCATCCTAGAAGAGTTAACCTTGCAAAGGATTTGCAAGGAACCCTGGGTCTGGTACAAATTGTCCATCCTGTCCTCCTAATCAGAATTGGCCCAGCCTATGAGAGTTACTCCTGATCATCTGTGTTGTTCCCTGGCTGGCTGATGCCAGGCTAACTGAAAATATCCCCTGAAACAGATTCTTTTTAACACCAAAAAGCAATAGAAATGAAAGGCAGAGGGGGCTACATTTTCCTTTGACCTGAAGGTAGATCTTTGCTTGTTGCATCCTCTTTTCTTTTAGGTCCAGTCCCTGTGAGTCAGCATTCATTTTCGTGACTATTCAATGCAAAACCTAACTGAAAGAAGTTCTTCTATAAAATTTATATAAAACCACATGGGAGGGAAGAGTAGTGAATCCACATGAAAATCTATTCTGCGTTTTACCAACTATGCATCCTTCCCCTCCTAAGATCATATATTCTACAGTTTCTTAGAGATTTTTGGAAATGATTACGTTATGTTTCTTTCATATTCATCTATCTACCACACTGAAAGTCTCCTTGATTTGTTCACTAGGAGAACAGATAGCATTAAAAATTTTATGCCACTTGACAGATCATAAGAGACTACCAGGAACAATTATACATAACAATTGAACAACCTAGAAGAAATGGATAAATTCCCAGAAACATATAATCTTCCAAGACTGAATCAGGAAGAAATAGAAAATCTGACAGACCAATTACTAGTAACAAAATTGAATCAATAATCAAAAAACTCCCAACAAAGAAAAGCACAGGACCAGACAGCTTCACAGGTGAATTCTACCAAACATTTAAAGAAGAGTTAATATCTATGCTTCTCAAATCATTCCAAAAAATTAAAGAGGAAGGAATGCTTCCAAACTCATTCTATTAGGCCAGCATTACCCTGATACCAAAACCAGACAAAGACGGGAATATCCTACAAAAAATATCTCTGATGAACATAGATGCAAAAATCCTCAACAAATATCAGCAAATTGAATTCGACAATACATTAAAAGGATCATACACCATGATCAAGTGGGATTTATTCCAGGGATGCAAGAATGGTTCAACATCCACAAATCAATCAACGTGATATACCACATTAATAAAACATTGTATAAAAATCATAGGATCATCTCAATAGATACAGAAAAAGCATTGACAAAATTCCATATCCATTTATGATAAAAATTCTCAATAAAGTGGGGATAGAGGGAACATACCTCAACATAATAAAGGCTATATATAACAAACCTGCAGCTAACATCATCCTCAACTATGAAAAGCTGAAAGCTTTTCCTCTAGCATCAAAAACAAGAGAAGGATGCTGACTTTTGATCAACATAGTATTCAAAGTCCTAGCCACAGAAGCAAGGCAAGAAAAAGAAATAAAAGGCATCCAAATTAGAAAGGAAGAAGTAAAACTATCACTATTTGCAGAAGACATGATACTATATATAGAAAGCCTGAAAGACTCCATCAAAAAGCTACTAGAACTAATAAATGAATTCAGTAAAGTTGCAAGATGCAAAATTAATATAGAGAAATCTATTGTGTTTCTATACACTAATAATGAAATATCAGAAATAGACATTAAGAAAACAATTCCATTTACAATTGCATCAAAATGAATAAAATATCTAGGAATAATTTAACCAAGGAGGAGAAAGACGTGTATACTGAAAGCTGTAAGACATTGATGAAAGAAATTGAAGATGACACAAACAAAAGATATACCATGCTCATGGATTGGAAGAATTAATATTGTTTAAATGTCCATAACTACCCAAAGCAATCTACAGATTCAATGCAATCCCTATCAAAATACCAGATTTTTCACAGAACTAAAACACATAATCTTAAAATTTGTGTGAAACCACAAAAGACTTCAAATAGCCAAAGCAATCTTGAGAAAGAAGAACAAAGCTGGAGGTACTACAGTCCCTAATTTAAAACTACACTACAAAGCTATAATAATCAAAACAGTATGGTACTGGCACAAAAATATTCACATAGATCAATGGAACAGAAGAGAGAGCCCAGAAATAAATCCACACTTACATGGTCAATCAATCTATGACAAAGGAAACAATATATAATGGGGGAAAGACAGTCTCTTCAATAAACGGTGCCGGGAAAACTCAACAGCTAAATGCAAAAGAATGAAACTAGACCAGTTTCTTACACCACATACAAAAATAAAATGGATTAAAGACTTGAATTAAGACCTAAAACCATAAAACTCCTAGAAGAAAACATAGGCAGTAAGCTCTTTGACATCAATTCTAGCAATATTTTTTTGGCTCTGTCTGCTCAGATAAGGGTAACAAAAGCAAAATAAACAAATGGGACTACACCAAATTAAAAAGCTTTTGCACAGGGAAGGAAACTATCACCAAAATGAAAACGCAACCTACTGAATAGGAGAAGATATTTGCAAATGATATATCCAATAAGGGGTTAATATGCAAAATAAATAAAGGACTCATACAACTCAATATCAAAAAAACAGACAATCCTATTAAAAAATGGGCAGAGGACCTGAACAGACATTTTTCCAAAGAAGACATAGATGGCCAATAGACACATGAAAAGATGCCCAATATCCCTAATCATCAGGGAAATGTAAATCAAAACCACAATGAGATATTACCTCACACCTGTTAGAATGGCTATTATCAAAAAGACAAGAAATAAGAAGTGTTGGCGAGGATGTGGAGAAAAGGGAATCCTCATGCACTGCTGGTGGGAATGTAAATTGGTGCAGCCACTGTGGAAAACAGTATGGAGATTCCTCAAAAAATTAAAAATAGAACTACCATACAATCCAGCAATTCCACTTCTGGGTATTCATCCAAAGAAAATGAAAACACTAATTCAAAAAGATATGCATCCCTATGTTCACTGCAGCATTATTTACAATAGCCAAGATATGGAAGCAACCTAAGTGTCCATGAATAGATGAATGGATGAAGATGTGGTATATACATACAATGGAATATTACTCAGCCATAAGAAAGAATAAAGTCTTGCCATTTGTGACAACATGGATGGACCTACAGGGTATTAAGCTAAGTGAAATAAGTCAGACAGAGAAAGACAAATACCATATGATTTCACTTATGTTTGGAATCTAAAAACAAAACAAATAAACAAACAACTCAAAACAGAAACAGACTCATAGATATAGAGAACAAACTGGTGGTTGCCAGAGGGGAGGGGGTGGGGAGGTGGGCAAAATAAGTGAAGCAGATTAAGAGGTACAAACTTCCAGTTAACATACAGCATGGGGAATATAGTCAATAATATTGTAATAACTTTGTATGGTAACAGATGGTTACTAGACTTATTGTGGTGATCATTTCATAATGTATGCAAATGTTGAATCATTATGTTGTACACCTGAGACTAACGTAATATTGTATGTCAACTATACTGCAACAAAAATAATATTATGCACTTCGAGGTCAGAGATACCTGATTCTTAGCTTTGCCACTTACTTGTTATGTGTAATTAAGCAAGTGAGCCTGAAACATCCCAAACCGGATTGGCAAACAAGGTTTGTGGGAGGAGCCCTCCCTCATGGGAAAGTTATTGGCAAGTGGACAAAGAATTGAATAGCCAAGCTATCTTAGAAGAGGAGAAGCCATAAAAATTCTGCTGAAAGTCTGGCACGGCTGGGCTAGGCCCTGACAGGAAGGAGAGAGATGAGAGGTGTTCATTACATACGGGACTCCGATCTCGAAGATGTTGTTCTGGATCAATTGCTTTCCCAACATGATGATGCTGAGCTGAATGCAGAGCTCCATGAGGCAGCCACCTGGAGCACACTGCAGGGAGAAGAAGAAAAGGAAGGAGCAGTTAGACCAAGTGGGGCTCAGAGAATCAAGAGTGTGAATTAAACCATGCTGCAATGGGGCAAGGATGGGGCTGGAGGGGGCAGGTGCACCTACAAACCACTAGCCAGGCATGAAACACCAGTGGCTGTACTTGCCTCTTCCATGCGGTAACCATCAAACACATAAACATAGCTTCCAGGTCTGCCCACAAACCTGAAATCGAGAAGTGAGGGAAGAGTTAGGGAAAGAGAATGTCAGGACTGCTTGAGGGTATGTATGCCTGCTGAGTGGAATAGCCACCGCTCAATGTCCTCCTGGAAAGTCCTGGCCAGGGTGGGTGCTAAATCACCCAGGGACAGGAATTCACACCCTGTCATCAGCTAACAATAACCTACAACACCTAAGGTTCACCTCTTAACCGAATGAAATTGCAGGAGATAGGGGCTGAGGATGGGGCTGGTGTGGGGCTGGGAAGGTAACAAGTGCGTGTGTCCAATAACTTCTGAGCCTAAATACAATGAAGTTTGGATTATCTCTAAGTGTGCTGTCTGTGCACCTTTTTCCCTTAACTGGTGTCAAGAATCGAGTTCTGATTGCAACTCCTCAGTGAGTGTACCTAATTTCCCAGGAAATGAAGGATGAGCTGGACTAAAGTTGCAAGTGGAGATTCCTGGGATCAGAAAAGAAAACTCTAGAGTTCTTACTGAAAATATTCAAAGGAATAGAAGAAGCCTGCCTCATCCCTCTTCTAAGACCTAAGGGTCTATTTTATTGAGGGATAAGGAGACTGGGCAGGAGGGGGACACAGAAAGGTAAAAGACAGGTAATCAGAAGAATCCTACTTAATTGAAATGTCATCCCCTCATCCACCTGTTGAAATCCTACTAGTCTATTTGAAGCTCAGCTTAAATCTTTCCTTCTCTGTGAAGTCTTCTTGTCTCTGTTCATAATTAAGTGTCCCACAAACACTTTCTCTATGCCCCTTATTACAACACTTACTGCAGATTGCAATGTGCTGTTGCCAAGACTCTTTCAATTTCCACAAGTTTATCTATGGGTCAGGACTTTATTTTATTTTTTTTGGCCTAGAATATCATATGTATGCAGTTTGCTATTGATATTAAATCTGGATGGAAAGCAACAAAGTATATAATCATTTATAAGGACAGTCTCTCTGCTACTATAATTTCATGAGGGTCAAGGGCAGAGGTCCTGGGAAAGGGGTTGTGGTTTGGGTCACAAACATATTTATAAGAAATTATCAAGTGTGGATGATGACAGTTCTTACTATCAATGCCTGCTTGATGAGCTTTTAGTTTTAGGGAAGCTTTCCTAACATAGTTGATGCCTCCTGGGAAATCTCCTTATAGGTAGCCAACTGATCTGACCATAAAAAATATTTATCAGAAGTGATTTTACATCCAGATCTATTGTATAATAAAGAATGTGAAAGGTCATTGTCCCTGGTTCCTGGAGGAGCCTTTAAATCCTTGGAATTTCCCAATAGGAGTGTCTTTGTTATTCATAGTTGGTCCCCGGGACTATACCTAAATTTATGCTAATGAGATCACTCAGGGTGGGGGAGGCCATGCCAGAAAGACCAACCATGTGATTAGACAGCTGGGCCTTTGAGCCAAGTGAAAGCAGCCTGACCTCAGGGGAGGTGAGGGGGACTGCAGATTGAGTTCAATCACATGATCAATGATTCAATCAATCATGCCTACATAATGGAACCCCAATAAAAACTCTGGACACTGAAGCTTAGGTGAGCTTCCTGCTTGATGGTACACATTGATCATTGATGTGCCAGGAAGCTGACACATCCTGAGGACATGGAAGCCTCGTTTTAGGACCCTCCTAGACCTTGCCCTATGCGTCTCTCCCATTTGCTGGTTTGAATTTGTATTCTTTTGCTGTAATAAAACTGTAATTTAAGTACAGCACATTCCTGAGTTCTGTAAGTTGTTCTAGTGAATTATCAAACTTGAGGGGTTAGTGGTTGTAGCCAGCTGGTCAGAATCATTAGTGGCCTGGGAACCCCAGAGCTTGTAGCTAGTATCTGAAGTGTATCCATAGTAAGCCTTATGGAAGACTGTGCCCTTAATCTGTGAAGTCTGCACTAATTCTAGGTAGTTAGCATCAGACTTGCATTGCAAGACCTAAGAGTCACTGGATAGACATGAAATTCCCTCCTCCCTCACCCTCAAAGTGGGCAGACACGAATTCTTCTAAGACTAACCCTTCAGACCCCAGAGCCATATCCCTGTAGAGTTTCCCTGTTTATCAGAATCTGAAGATGCTAATCCAAAATGATTTAGCATGCTAAATACCACTGCTTCATGAACAGCCAGGTGGGGGCAGGAGTGGGGAATGGGGCTGAGGATGTGAATTAACAATGGGGACAGGCTGACTCTAATGGAGGACCCAATCCTGGCGACTAATTACTCTTCCATGTATGACACTGATATACTCACCTCCCCTTGAAAAAGGCCACATAGAAGATGGGCGAGTAGGCATTGACAAACTTTAGCAAGAAAGCTTTGAGTATCAGGCGCTCTTCAAAAGTCTGTTCTGTTTTTGGAACCTCTGAAAGAGAAGGGCAAAGTTGATAAGACTGAGAAACAAATTTCTTACTTCTCCAGAGTTTTGACTCTGTGACATGAGCCATTGTCTCTCAGCTTACTCCTTCAGAGTAGAAACCAAGAGATCCATCTCTCTGGCACATCAGAATTGAACCTCATCTGGAAGGTCCCAAATGGCTTGCCAGGTAATATGAAGCTACAGAAGGTCAAGGATATATACAATCATCACCTTCCTCCTTCCACTTCCTTCCTCTTATCCACTCAAGCCATGGTTTCACACTGTGCCCCTTAAAGAAGAGTCTGAGCAAGCAGAACTTCCACCACGCTTGCTTCATCAAGAGGATTTCACTTTTACTGTATAATTGCCAGTTCTATAAGATTTTCCTTGAACAAAAGTCCCTGATGAAAAAGGCTTGTTAACCACTGAACTAGAGTCAAGAAACAGTCAAGACTTGTCTTGAGCACCATGACATTGTTTCTCTTTCTCTCCTCCTTCATTTTTAGCAGGAGAGTACTCATTTCTATATCCTCTGGATAGGTTGAAACATCTTGAGTTCATTCACTCAAATGATGAAGGATCATCAGATAAGTGAAATAAACACAGCCTGGGCCTAATGTCTCAAACTCGGGGGTCATAGTGCCAGTGTGTTCTATCAGGTCCAAGCAGAGGAGTCAGCCAATGTTCCCAAAAAGGACTCTGAGAAACAGTGAACAGAAACTTCATCAGTGCCTTCAGAAGACTTGAGACCCAGGGGATGCTCCAGTGGACAGATGTGCAGAGGGCTTAGTTGGGGTCTCCACAGATCATGACAAATAGCTTGGCAAAGATAAGAGGTTACTGGACCACACTCTTCAGGGGCAGAAGGAAAGCATTAATCTCGCATCATGTACATTGATAAATACAGCTTGAAAGTGTGCTGAGCACAAGGCCAAAGTGCCAGGGTCATGTCAGCCAGGGAGTTTTGCGTCCAGATGAGACCAGTGTGTGTACCCACCTGACTTGTCTGCCCACCTGACTCACAGGTAGCTTTTGTAGGAATCATTAGAAAAGTGGACACATGACCCTGTTCTCTCCCCTGGAATGCCCTTCCTTGACCCATCTCTTCATGTACAAATCCATTGCATCCTTTAACATCCAAATCAGATGTTACCCATAATTTCCTTCCCAAAGACTTCTCAGATGCCTTCAGCTGGTAATCTCTGTGTTTTCTTCTATAGTATTTTATATTTCTATATATTAATTACCTATATCCATGCCCTTTGGAAAATCACAATAATAGTAGCTTTCATTGATTGTCTGTGTCTTAGTTTGGGTTACCCTCTAAGTCAAGGATTTGGGAGTAAGTAGTTTATTTGGGAGGTGCTCCCAGGAAGCTTGGTGAGGAAGCGGGGTGATGAGACAGAGAAAGGAGGGAAGACAACATGGATGTGTTCATGAAAGGTTAATGCCACAGGAAACTGGGACTCAATCTCGCTGGAGACCTTCTAAGAGACTGTGTGCTGCACATCTCAGAATCATGACACTGAGGGGTAAGCAAGCAGGAGGCCCTCACTGGTTGAAAGTCACTACTGGGCTTGACTCTCTGGCACTTCCAGCTTGTCCTATGCACAGGCTGAGCATGCTCCCACACCCAGAGAACACCCACAAACAGAAAGCTGCAGTGACCTCTGGGGTGATCAAGGGGATGTGTACAAGATTGTCTGCTCCAAGCTGCTCTACAGGTGGCATCACACAAGGTGCATGCATTTGCTATCTCATTTCATTCTCATCTACCTATGTGTGGGAGGTACAGTAGTCCCCCCTTACCCACAGATTCGCTTACTGCAGTTTCAGTTACCCACAGTCAACCATGGTCTAAAAATATTAAATGGAAAATTCCAGAAATAAACAATCCATAAGTTTTAAATTGCACACTGTTCTGAGTAGCGTGATGAAATCTCGGGCCGACCTGCTCTGTTCCCCCCAGGATGTGAATCATCCCTTTGTCCAGAGTATCCATGCTGTGTATACTACCCTCTCGTTATTCAGTAGTTGTCTGCGTTATCGGATTGACTCTCATGGCATCACAGTGCTTGTGTTCTAGTAACCCTTAATTTACTTAATAATGGCCCCAAAGTGCAAGAAATATTCCTGGCAATTTGCACATGCCAAAGAGAAGCCGTAAAGTATTTCCTTCAAGTGGAAAGTTGCAAGTTCTCGACTTAATAAGGAAAGAAACAAATCACATGCTGAAGTTTCTAAGATATACAATAAGAACAAATCTTCAATCCGTAAAACTGTGAAGGAGGAAAAATAAATTTGTGCTAGTTTGCTGTGGCAACTCAAATAGGTACGGGTAGGAAAAAGCACAGTATTTATAGAGTTCGGTACTATCCACAGTTTCAGGCATCCACTGGGGGTCTTGGAATGTATCCCCCGTGAATAAGGGGGAACTACTGTATTATGTCTCAGTTTTATGGATATAGGGAACTGAGGCCCAGAGAAGTTAGAGCCTTGCCAGTAAGTGACAGAGCAAGATTTGAACCCAGATCTGCCTGTCTCCGAAGACAGTTTTTACTACACCACACTTCAAAATCAGGATCTTTGATGGATGATGTTTACATCACACATCTCTTTCACCTCCCCCCCTCCCCCTCAGCCTAACATGACACACCTGAGAAATATTTGTCACCAGCAGTGTGCCAGGCACCATGCCAGGATGAATGAAGACTTCACCACTTCCTTCAAGGAGCTGCATTTAGCAAGTCTCTGTGAAAGCCTTTTTCAACCTGCCAAGTCTCTTCCAGATTTATTCTGTGAGCAGCAAGGTGTCATCTCCCCTCTCATCCCCTCTCATGGCAGAAGGGGATCCTAGGGAAAAGAACGCTGCCGTTCCATGATCTGCTTTCCCACTCAGCACAGTGAGCTCTGTACTCATTTGCAATCCTATGCAAATGAGTGATGCCCAGGTGATGCCCAGGAGCATCAGTAGTGGTCCAAGCATGAGCAGAGGCCTGCTAAGGACACTGCCACGGAAGGCGTGAGGCCCTGGGGCCCCAGTGCCCTGGAGGGGCCAGGAGAATGGGAAAGCTCAGACCCCACAGCACTCCTATCACAACTGTGATCCTGGCCTTGATTTCTCTAAGGCTGGAAGGAAATGAGAGGTACTCACAGGTCCCCATAAGCCCTGAGAAACATGGTGACACTCCTATAGAGCTAGCAACACTGAAAACTAGTTCAACCTCCAAGCTTCCCTTCATCCCGAAACCCACTTCAGTTCACTTATGTTGGCGAACAGTCCTAGAGGCCCTGGCAGGCCACGCTGAACCGACAGAGCACCCAGTCACCCTATTGTGGCTCAGCTGTGTGTCAAGGGGAGGAGTTTTTTGTTTGTTTTGTTTTGCTACAGAGATGGCTGTAGGTTCGGATTTTAGCATCAGACTTGTTTGAGCACAAATGCAGAATGTAATTAGAGGAGTGAAGTTATATAAAAATGAAGATGATACTGCCTCAGAGGGTTGCCCTGAAGACACGACGGGAATGCTGATAAAGCACCCAGCCTAGTGCGCGGCACATGGTGGACCTCAAAAAACAATAGCTCCTACTGTCCTGAACATCATCATCATCATCATCATCATCCAGGTCCAGTGGCCTTGCTTTCAACAACACAGCTGGGCCCTCCAAGCCCAGATGTTTGTGCCCATGTCTAGCCCCTAAGGCTCTGGGCATCATTTCCACGTTGATTGCGGATCACTTTCTACCTATCAACGGAGAGCATGGCTGGTAGGTGACACTGCTGGCACACAGCTGGGAAAGTTTAATCAACACAGCCCCTGTCCCCACCCTGCAGAACCACAGCCCAAGCTTCCTGAGGTCCTCCAGGAAACTCTGGCAATAGCACTGCCTGCTAAGGAATCTGGAGACATGGTCATAATTCTATGGGAGACGAAGCTGGAAAAGTATCTCTGATATCCTTCAGCTGGTAGACGGTTGTGTGGTTTTCTCCTTCCTGCCACGCCTGGACAGACACGCACACAGCCCCATGAGCCCATGCACAGACTGGGCAACCCTGCACTGCCTCGCCCAGTAAGCGTTGGATAACGATTTGTACTCACCATTTACAGTTAACACTGCCACCTCTGTTAGTTCTTCTTTAGTTTATCTACATTAGCAACACCCCTCAGATCTTTACCTTTAAGGCCTTTCTCCTCCTTGCTACAAATCCTGCCCCTACAAAGAGGCCCTGTTGATTTATGCTTATCCGGTCCTCCCTGAGCTCAAGATCCACATCCCCTTCTTCAGCCTGATTCTCATTCCTCCTAACTAAAGGAAACAATTCTGAGGCCCACGTGGAAATGCCTGCCATTGATTTCCAAGGTCACTTTCAGTTTTAAGATCTCATAACTCTGAACCCCCATGTGGCTATTAACCCTATTACTTCCCCCACCCCCATCCCACCCTGCCCCTGCCGTGCACGGTTTGGATGACCTTTATACAATGAGCAAAGTCAGAGAGATACATCTTCTGGGAGGACCACAGCTGTTGTCAGATGGACTCTACTATGCACATTTATTGAATGAATGAATGACATGAAAAAAATATTATTTGAAATATTGAAAAAATATCTGTCATCTATTAAAAATTCCCTGTCGCATTTCAAGGAGGGCAAGTCCTAAGGAGAGAACTTTGTGTGTTGAGCAGGATAATGGGTATGAAGATACAAGAGGGGAGCACCCAAAGGAGAGTTAAATTTCCCTACTTAAAATAAGAGATGCGGGTATTGTTTTGGAGTTAGATGCAGGACCCAGAAAAGGCTAGAGCCAGAGTGATGGGAGGGGGAACGGCAGAGAGGGAGATGAGGTGGCTGCTGCCAAAGAAGAAGAAACGTAACTGACAGGTTGGGGAGTGGAGGCAGAGATGCCCAATGGAAATTTTCATTAACTTCTGCTGTGTGATTTGTAGTGTGACCTGCCTCATTTGCCTCTCTACAGAATCTTGAGTAGAAAAGAGTCATTCAAACCTGC